TAGGTCCACTCCCGAACTTAGGATCAGAGAAGTAGGCACGGCTCACTCTGAGCCGGCCGGTCCCAAGTTAGGCTTAACTCAACCTTGAACCCAATGGGCTGGGTCACGGACCTGAACTGACCCGGCCCACGCCCAGTCCTATTGCCAAACAATACCCAGACCTTTTTTTCAATGGGTGTTAACGGAGCGGATACGGCTCGGATATGACACTTACCATATCCATATCCGCTTACCCATCTCGGATACGGATATGGATACGGATATACGTCGGTAAGAAAAATTCATATCCATATCTGCTAAAATCGGATATGGTTACGGATATAGATGCGGATATATAAACAGATATGCATGCGGATACAAAAATGATATTAGAAAACTAGATAGTATTCAGAAAAATATAGTCATGTGATACAAAAAAGAGTTCGTTAATATGTTCATTATGATTGAAAAGCTAAGATTAGACATCTTGATCATCAAAATTAATCACAAACCCATAATCTAAGACTCGAAACTATCGTAAGAGTATGACCAATATGTATTCGGATATTTTAGGATACGGATACGGATATTTCACTACAAAACCATATCCGTAATCATATCCTATCGGTTATAGATTTGAGTAACCATATTCGTATCGTAACGGATACGGTTACGGATATTTCCTCGGATACGGATCCGGTTTGGCACCCCTAATTAGTCTAGTTCAGCGTAAAATTTTCGGACCGACTCTAATTGGATCGGATTCTGCTAAACCCGGCCCGGAAAAGAAAACTTTCTCCCCAAGCATACTCCAATAAATAAACTCCGTCGGCAATCTCTACCTCCTCCTCCTCCTCCTCTCTTTCTTCAGCTGCAAGCAATGCCGCTTTGTGGTCAACTGCAGCTCCTCAGCGCCCCTCCAGTTGTCAACCGCCCATCTACCCGCCATCGCAATCCGTCGCCCAAAATCTCAGCCGTCCAATTCTTTCCCTCCTCCGAAATCTCAGCGGTCCAATCCTTTCCCGCCTTTTCATCCACCTCCCAAAACCCTAAACCCTTCCCCTCTCCCGAGTCCGGCCGCAAGAAAACCCTAGCCCTAGCCCTGACCTCCATCTTCGCCTCTGCCGGTGGACTCCTCCTTTCAGGCGGCGGCGGAGGTGTGGTCTTGGCTGTTCCCAGCCTATCGGCTAACGCGAAGGGCAGGGGAGAGGTGAGGGGATCGCCCTGGACTGGGAGTCCCTGGCCTTCCCGCCAACATCTCATCGTCGGATCTCCGCAAGCTCAGCGGCATGAAGCGGTACAAGATCTCCGAGATCCTCTTCTTCGATCGCCGCCGGAGATCCACCGCCTCAGGCGCCGACGACCCCTTCTCCGAGATGGTCTCCTTACTGCCCGGCGGGGTCTACCCCAAGTCACAGCTTCAGGTTGAGTTAGAAACCCTAGCTTCTTCTGGAATGTTTGAGAAGGTGGATCTCGAGGCCAAGACGAAGCCTGATGGAACCCTAGGCCTCACTGTCTCCTACACAGAGGCCACCTGGCCGTCGGCGGATGCCTTCAGATGCATCAATGTAGGGTTGTTGCCGCAGATGAAGCAGGTGGAGATGGATCCGGACATGACGGATCGAGAGAAGTTTGAGCATGTGAGGAGCCAGGAGAGGGATCATAGAAAGAGGATACAGAGGGCAAGGCCGTGCCTTTTGCCTGTTACGGTCCAGAGAGAGGTGCGGCAAATGCTGAGGGAGAATGGGAAAGTGAGCGCGAGGCTTTTGCAGAGGATCCATGACCGAGTCCTGAAGTGGTACCATGATGAAGGGTATGCTTGTGCTAAAGTTGTTAACTTTGGTAATTTGACTAGTAGAGAGGTTGTGTGCGAGGTTCTGGAAGGAGATATTACACAGCTCGCAATTCAATTTGAAGATAACCTTGGGAATGTTGTCGAGGGGGACGCTCAACTTGGGATCATTCAGAGAGAGTTGCCCTATCTGGTAATTTCGGTTTTGGTTTTTTGATGTTCATATCGTTTACTTACAGCTTCTGTGTTTGACGTTCCAAGCTTAATTATGTTCTGATATTATATACATTTCTTGTCGCAGCTGAACAAGGGCCATGTTTTTAACATCGAGGCTGCGAAACAAGGTCTAAGAAACTTAAATTCTCTTTCCTTATTTTCCAACATCGAGGTGAATCCACGGCCTGATGAAAAGAATGAAGGAGGGATCATTGTTGATATCAAACTTAAAGAAACGAAACAAAAGTCAACTGAAGTAAATGCAGAATGGAATATTGCACCTGGGCAAAATGGATGGCCAGCTCTGGTACTGTCAACTAATTAATTGTCTTTCCTATACGAGAATTAACTAAATTTGAACTAAAAGTAGCTACAAAAAGGTAAATGAAGTGATTTTCTGTTTTCAGGGATCGATTCGACCTGGTGGAACAGTTACATATGAGCATCGGAACATCAAAGGGCTAAACAGATCCCTAGTAGCCTCCGTAAACTCTAGCAACCTCCTGAATCCTCAGGTAACTTGTGACCTTAGCAATCTCCTGAATCCTTAGGTAACTTGTGACCTTATATGCTACAATATTCTAGATCTTGTGATATATAAAGATACTTGTGATATACTTGGATGCATGCACTCGGTTAAGGTATCCAGGTGTTGTGTTATTACATACTAGAGCATCCTAGGACTGACCGCGCGCGTGTGTGTGATGGCTCATGGATTTAGGTTACTCGAACATCCACTAAATTAGATGTTGTCAAATTTTACCGGTTAAATGTTACTTTTTATAAATTGATAACCTACTATTGGTTAGCGGGATGCATATCTCAGAGTGGGTTGGTTGGTTGAGTATGCGTATCAATACTTCACCACTTTTTACTTTATATTTAAATGGATGTAAACTTGTAAAGCATTGCACATAGAAATATCTGGATGCCATATAGCACATGTGAACATTCTGATGATTTTTGCATAAGTTGAAGTTTTTTAAAAACACAGTTATAACAACTTGGTGAATTTTATTCTATTTTTTATTTTATTTTTGTGGGCGCGCGTGCGCTGTGCGCACATGTGTGCGTGTGTATTTGCATGTGAAACGATGGTTAGAATTTGGTTTTGGATTAACCTGTCGAGATGATGGTGAAAGGACAAGCAGTTCAATTGCATTTGAATTTAACAAATAGCCTGGAGATTTCAGTTGATAAATGCTTCTTTTCTTCACCGCCATTTTCATTGTCTTTTTTCTTTCTAACATCCTGTTTGCTAGTTTAGGATGATCTAAGTTACAAGTTTGACCCCCTTCCTGTTTGCTAGTTTAGGATGATCTAAGTTACAAGTTTGAATATGTGCATCCTTACGTGGATGGTGTGCACAATCCTCGTAACCGTACATTTCGTGTCAGCTGCTTTAATAGTCGCAAGATGAGTCCTGTATTCACCGGTGGGTCTGGGGTGGATGAAGTTCCCCCTGTATGGATTGACAGAGAGGGGATCAAAGCCAATATAACCGAGGTAGGTGCAAAGTTTTGTCACCACTCTACTCCACTGCTCTTAAGCTTCCAGTTGTCTTGATGTATATTATGCATTTTGCAGACTTTAACTAGTCAGAGCAAATTAACTTACGGACTTGTGATGGAAGAGATCAAAACGCGTGATGGGACGAGCTCTTTATGCACTCATGGTGCTCGGCAACTGCCAACTGGTGCTTTGAGCATGCATGGACCTCCAACAACCCTTAGTGGTACTGGTGTTGATCGCATGGCATTTGCACAAGCAAATATTACTCGTGACAATACAAAGTTTGTAAATGGTGCAACTGTGGGTGACAGGAATGTGTTTCAGGTATAATGTCCTTGACTGTTGCTTCTTTTTCTCGTAAATTTCAGTTATGATTTACGCATTTACCAGATTACATAATGGGTTTGTGCATGAATATCCTCGGCTAGGCTTAACTATAACACACGCACATGTCAAGTTAGAAATCAAGCTTTTGATAAAAGAACCGTGAGACTGTTTGATGTATTAATTGGGACTTTAAAGGGTGTATGCAAGACTTGGTCCATTAGATTGATATTTTATGTCAATAGTTTAATGTAATTCCTGACGGCATGTTTGACATGTTTCTTCATCGAAGCTCTTTCCTAGTCTCAGAAAACTTCATAGTATTGCTCTTGAATGAACTTTAAATGCATAGCCAAGGAGTCAAGATTTCCTCTACAGTGACCCTACCCCCGTAAAACTATGCTTCCAATGTTCTTGACAATCGTCTCTATTGCCAATGTGGATAATTTCCATTGTTGATAATTGAGCATCATTTCTCTCACATTAGGTTAACGGTCGCGGTACTTGTTGTGCGCAGCGGAAATTTCGGCAGAGTTTTCTGGTGCACAATAAGAGAGAAAGATCGATAAGAATTCCCGTCTCACCAAGGAAACAAGAATCTGAAGCGGATATCTCAACCAAGTGAGATATCGGCTCTTCCTCTCATCAGTTCTAGGACTGACCTGTCGAGGGATCCTAAAACTATTACAATGGCCACAAACTCAAACAAACCAATTTTACGTGGTTCGGCAAACTGCCTACGTCCACGGGGCAAGGAGGGGGAGATCTACTATTAGAAAGAAAAAGAATACAAATAGGTTTACAACTCTCACAATTAAACCCTCAATCTAATCTCTTTCTTCCTCTCTCAAAAGCCGCTGACTTTTTCTTCTTTCTCCTGTGCTGCGCACCTGCTCTCTGCAGCCTTTGTTTTTCTCCTTCAATTCCTGCACGAAACCCAAGCCGCCTTTGCACAGTTCTGTCTTCAAGCCGCCGGTTTTGATTTCCCTTCAGCCTCCGCACACTTCAAGCCCATGAAAACCTAGAAAAACACGCTATATATAGCTGCTGGAAAGAGGAAACGGGTACTCGGTTGTGGGCCGCGAAGTCTTCACGCGGAACTCAGCCTCATACGCGGTTTTGTAAACCGCTGCTGATGTGGCCTTCACGAGACCACCTAAAAAACGCGTCTTTAGCATTGTTGGCGAGGTACTCATGCACGTGAACTCCCTGCACACAGTGGCCCCCACGTTCCATGAAGTTGCGTTCACACAATTCTCCACCTCGGCGAAGTTTTTTTTTTTTCAAAACTGAGCCGACACCAACCAAAACAAATGTCTCACTTGTTGTATCCAGTACGAAGTGAAACAATTCATGACAACGGACTCAATCCATAACAAGTCGAGAGCCCAAATGAGAGTACAAACACTCTCCAAATATCAGTGTCTACTCACCAAATCGATCTCACCCCCATCAAAATCCAACCCGGCTGCATCATAAGACTGCCTACGTATCCTCTTGCCCAAGGAATCAAGCCGAACGTAGTTCACCCAAATGGCTGCAAACGACCTCAATCCAATAGAAGAGTTCGTAACCCTTCTCCAATATCATCAACTCTGCGACTGATAGCACCTCCAATGGCCTCAAACACCTCCACCTGAGGTGAACCAATGGTCATATCCAAACTGCATCTACCAGCTGCACTCGAGTCAAAACCCAACTCATCATCTGCATCTGAATCCAAATGACTTCCACGTTGTGTCACCTCAGCTGGAATCCCAACCAATACAGAATGACCTGGAGTATGTGGGAAAATCCCTACCCAATGTGGAGTAGCATCAATCTCCACCCGCTGCGATACCTCTAAGGTCTGTCCAAAACTCTCCACCTGCTGAGAGTCAATTGGCTTCATCATCGAAGCCTCAACCAAAGTGACACTACCAGACCTATCTTCCAATTGAGTTTTACCTCCAATCACAGCAGTTGACAACTCTTTAATAGGATGACCCAAATATGTCGAAGCCTCTGTCCAGAAACTCTTCTGCAGACCATTGCTTGACATCAAACACCGATCCTCCTCCAGCAAGGTACGGTTCTCTAAATTTATCATCCTATCTAGCTACCCCAAGATTTCCTTTCCACAGTTCTAGGACTGACCTGTCGAGGGATCCTAAAACTATTACAATGGCCACAAACTCAAACAAACTAATTTTACGTGGTTCGGCAAACTGCCTACGTCCACGGGTCAAGGAGGGGGAGATCTACTATTAGAAAGAAAAAGAATACAAATAGGTTTACAACTCTCACAATTAAACCCTCAATCTAATCTCTTTCTTCCTCTCTCAAAAGCCGCTGACTTTTTCTTCTTTCTCCTGTGCTGCGCACCTGCTCTCTGCAGCCTTTGTTTTTCTCCTTCAATTCCTGCACGAAACCCAAGCCGCCTTTGCACAGTTCTGTCTTCAAGCCGCCGGTTTTGATTTCCCTTCAGCCTCCGCACACTTCAAGCCCATGAAAACCTAGAAAAACACGCTATATATAGCTGCTGGAAAGAGGAAACGGGTACTCGGTTGTGGGCCGCGAAGTCTTCACGCGGAACTCAGCCTCATACGCGGTTTTGTAAACCGCTGCTGATGTGGCCTTCACGAGACCACCTAAAAAACGCGTCTTTAGCATTGTTGGCGAGGTACTCATGCACGTGAACTCCCTGCACACAGTGGCCCCCACGTTCCATGAAGTTGCGTTCACACAGTACTTTTGTCAGTCCTTCTGTTACTCCCTCTCATAAGAGCTGTGTTCCATAGTTGACCATTTTGTGGAAGAAAGATTCGATGATGAAAATTAGAAATGATCACTCAAAGCAGTGTTTACTGCATTATGGAGAATTTAGACCATTCATTATGATCTCTACTGTGTAAATTACTAATGGGAATGACTAATTGCATCGAGCGAACAATAATTCTTGTTCAAGCAGTTAGCACAGCAACAAAACATTAATTATTTTGTTAGCTTCTGTTCTCTACCTATCATCAAGTTGTTAGAAATCAACATTCCTTGTTTCAACTACATAGATCTACCAAGTGGGTTACGCACATTCAAAGCCACAGATGAACACGCACTATAGTGTGCATACCCAATTCAACCAGTTGGGTATTTTGGGCTACAAACATAGTACTAGTCTACTAGACAGTATCTAGCTACTCGATCACTGGATGCATAAACTAGAAAGGAAATACGCGGTGCTGTTGGTTGACAGGCTTGTTGATTATCACTACACATTCTCTGATTCTAAATCTTTGTTTGTCTGACCTGCTGTCGAAGCTACACTTAACATATTTCAGGCAATAGCATTTATTCACCTGCCTTGTTGAGCTATTTATTTCATTTTTCTCCAATAACAAGAAGCATTACCCTAACCCTCTTGAGTCTTGATGGTTGTGCACCTATTTCCAGGTTGATCAAGGCCTTGGGGTTGGCACCAAATTCCCATTCTTCAACCGTCATCAGCTCTCGCTAACGAAATTCATTCAGTTAAAGAAAGTAGAAGAAGGTGCTGGAAAGCCGCCGCCGCCAACTCTTGTCCTTCATGGAAATTATGGTGGATGTGTCGGTGATCTCCCAGGCTATGATGCTTTCACTCTTGGTGGGCCCTACTCTGTTCGTGGATACAACATGGGCGAGTTGGGCGCTTGCAGAAACAAGCTTGAGGTGAGGCATTAATTTCTAGCTCTAATGAAAATTATTAACACTTGGAAAAGATTTTGGGGTTTTCCCCATATATACCCCCAAACCATCCCACTTCATCAAACGATGTTAGTTTTTAACGGAAAATGAGTAAATTGTCAAAAAGGTCCTTCCACTCTTTCGCCTCATCGGCGGAAGAGGTTTGGAGGCGAGAGAGGAGGTCATTGGGAGGGGGCTTAGAGTTTAGAGAGAGAGAGAGAGAAAAAAAAGAGATGAAGAGGGGAGGGAAGAAGAAAAGGAGAGGAAGAGCTTTTTGTCCATTCACTTATTTTCCGTTATAAAACTAACACTGTTGGATGATGGAGTGATTTTATCTAATGTGAGGGATTTTCAGGGGTAATTTAGCAAAAATTTGCTTATGTATGGATGAACGAGTATATAAGAAAGAAAACCCCAAATATTCTAGGGCATTGATTCCAATATTACATGGGACCTAAACACTTCTCTTACCAGCTTGCTGCTGAGTTACGCGTTCCTGTGAAGAACAACATTGTATATGCCTTTGCTGAACACGGATACGATCTTGGTAGTTCGAAGGATGTAAAAGGAAACCCAACTGAGTTTTTCCAGCGAGTTGGACAAGGATCATCCTATGGTGTCGGTACGAAGTTTGGGCCAGTCAGAATGGAATATGCCGTCGATCATAACACTGGCAAAGGATCCGTCGTTCTCAGGTTCGGGGAGAGATTTTGAGGAACACAGTATCGTGTTCATTTCGCGCGGAAAAAAAAGTACAGAATTTTGTTTTGGTCAGAATAGGAGAAGAGTTAACACGTACATGCTGGTTGTTATCGGATGTCTCTAACGTTGTCTTCTAATTTAGGGGTTATTACTTTGCAAAAGTACTTTGTATTGTTCAAGGTTGATGTTGATATAGTGAGATTTTGCCTTGGCCAAATATTGGTATGTCTAAACCTTAACTTCCCCTAACTTACAATGTTTTTTTTCTGTCGCTTCACCTATACGGCATTAGACGTGTATATTTATGTTTTCTTACATTCTTGCGAGGTTAATTAGTGAGAAGAAACTTTATGAGGCGCATTACAGAAAAATACTTCGCACGGAGAAAGAAGAAAACTTTATAAGCCACATTGATCTGTTAGCCAGCTGATACAGAACATTTGTACGCTAATTTACATTTAGGAACATTGAGAGAACGATAACTTACAAATTTGGCTGATATGAGTAGAAAAAAGATGATGCAGGATGAATTGATCTGTTGGCCATTTGAATGGGATTCTTGATAGTCAGCAGGAGATCTTTTTGAAGCCAGGAACATTGTAGGGATGCAATCTTTTAAAGCCCCAACTCCTTTTTCAACTGAGCAAGTGCTTTCTCAATATCATCGAAGCTATCCTGGATGCTGCTCTTCTGACCGCCTTCATCTTGAGGAACGCCGTCCCTTTTCTCATCTCCAGGCTTCGAGTACGAGTTTCCTTCAAAGGAACCATCATCGTCGCCTTCTACATCGGTGATGTTGAGCTCCTTTTCTAAGAATTCAACAAATTCCTCCCCAATGACCTGCAATATGAAATTCTTCCTTTACATGCAGATTTTAATTTGCGCATGCTACACTATTGTGTTAGTGTCAACCTTCCAAGCAACATTCCGTAACCGTAAAGTAAAAAAAAAAAGCAATATCGGACCTACTGAAATGTCTGTATATATACTAATAACTTACTGCCAGCTCCTCCCACAAGCTCTTGGGCTTCTCTTGGGAGCTAATGCCTGCTTCCCAGTTCTCAAATTCAGCTTGTAAATCGCGAAAGAAATCCGCTGCAACAAAAACGTTGAAGTCGTTACGGAAATGGCCCCTCTGCTATGAAATATACCAAACAGCTTAATCTAGGAGAATATCCATGTAACCAACACGAGACAGTCTACCTACAGTCATTTGAACATCTTGTAAAAAGCTACCTGCAGAATAAATGGGTAATATGAGGATTGACGACATTGAGGATACACACTACATCGAAAGAATCGAGGTTTTAAGTCTAACGATGGCTCGAGGAAACCATCGAAACAGCCATACGCTAGGAATCGCCAATGCCCAAAATCAAATCTAGTTTGTCTACAGGAAACGGAAATAAATAAAGGGCGAAAGCATACGCGGCGCTAAGGGGGTGTTTGTTTCAAATCCTACAATTTTAGGATATGGATTTCACCGTGGGATTTGAAATCCATAGGTTTTTTTAACGTGGGTTGGGACTTCTAAAATGTTGCTTGTTTCATCAAATATTTTGGGACATGTAATCCTATAATTTGTACTTTGTTTGTTTCAAACTCAAATTGTAGCGTTACAAATTTTAGAATTTGAAATCTATAGCCTAAATCCTCTCGCAAAGAGAAGATTTCACAAACGCTATAATATATTAGTTTTTTATTATTTGGGTATTCAACGTCCCAAAATTTATTTTGAATCAAACAAAGGTTACGGAATCCATAAACTAAAAAAAAAACCCATTTTTTCAACCTAGAATTTGTTATCCACACTATCCCCCCCCAAAAAAAAAAAGTTGAAACAAGCACCCCCCCAAGATAATGTTAGTACTTGGACAACATTGAGACGGCATTTATTAGAAGGGCAAGAGTCGTACCAAACCCATAAAACTCCTCTTCTTGGGCAGCGCGGCGACCCCCCCTTTCGGGT